ACCGAATAATCCGAAATTAACGTCGATTTCAAATTTTTGTTTGGATTTATTTTTGTGTACTACTGTTCGTGTTCGGTATGCTTCAAACCGGTTAAACCGATTTTACTGCTTTTAGTATTTTTACCAAATTACCCCTTTGCATAATCCTCCACAACAACGGACAAATTATTATTACCCGACGAGGAAAAAGAAAAAAAGAAAAGAAAAAAAGGAAGAGACAAAAACAAATGGCGACTCGGGCGACGACATCACAATGAACATACACCAAGCCCTTCCATGGCTGCTTCATCTTCTTCCTTACACTGCACAGAAGGACGAATTTGATAAAACTTTGATCGTAATCATCTCTACACTTTACATTTATGATTTCTCCGTCCTTGGTGGATCTTTGATTCGGTCTTGAAGCAGATCTGATCGCGGAAATTCCCTTTTTCAGCTATTTTTTGTTTTTTTTCCGTCGTGGTTTTGATCGGAGATGGAGGCATTGACGGAGCTTTGTGACATTATAGCGCAAAATCCGAAGCAATTCTCGGAGAAGTTGGCTTGGATATGTGGTCGATGTCCACAAACGGAATGGCTTCTCGCTGAATCACCCAGGGTTTCTCGGAGTCATCTCAACGCGGTTTTGGCCGTTGCTCGGATCATCTCTAAGAACCCAGAATCAACCGATAATCGTGCTAAATCCGTCGTGAAGGAGTTTTTAAGCGCCGTGCCTGCGTCGTTCCGTCGTTCGTTCTGGCCAAATTCGTTTCCTTTGCAGTCGATTTCTTCCTTTTATTCTGATTTCTTAAGCTACCTATCGTGTGCGGCGGATCTATCGCCGGAATTTGGTACCGAGGTTGCTAGGTTTACAGGGGAGGTTGTGATTGCTGCGACGAGTTGCGGTGAGAGCGATGGGGATCCGTTAATCTCTAAGGCTTTCTTAGTCGTACTTTCTCAGAATTTTCCTTCGATTCTGCAGTCTGATGGGGATAAATTGATAACAATGCTGCTTGATCAGTTTGTTGTGAATCGTGCTCCTGCGTCTCCCAAGGAACAACGGCAGCAGCAGAACTCGGAGAACTCTGAAACTTCTTCATCTCAGGGATCTCCGAGTAGTACGAACCGTTATCCCTCGGGCAAAACCGAGGAGTCTAGTCCTGGCTACGAGGTCACTAGCAATGGTTCCAATGCGTCCTCTAAGGGTTCTTCGTCTGTCGTGGTGAATGGGGGCAATATTGTGTGGAAGAGTGGTGTTGATCAGCTGAGTTTCGGATTTAGTGAAGGGAGTGGAGGCTCTAACCCTGTTTTTAGACAACAAGTGGCTTCTTTTGAGGACGAATCCATCGAGAGCTTGGAGAAACAAGAGATTGCCTTTAGATTAATAACTCATATTTTGGAGAAAGTCAAGATTGATTCTAAACTTCAGGATCAGGTGAGGTTTATAGCGAAGAGGCAGCTCCAGTCCATGTCTGCATTTCTGAAGGTAATGCTTCTCTTGTGGTAATAGAATATGGAATTTCATATATATTAGGTTGTTTAATAAGAATGCTAGAGACAAGATTTCTTGGTGAAGCAATTGTTGGTCGATAATCCCTTTTACTGTAAATTTTTTGCATGTTTTCACGCTGGTTGGTATGATGGTATCTTGAGTGGCGTTTGGATTTCTTAAAAGAGATAATGACTCTGTTTCTGCCTTCTGTTTTACAGTCAAGAAAGCGAGACTGGAATGAACAAGGCCCAGTTCTGAAAACTAGAGTCAATGCCAAACTTTCTGTTTATCAGGCTGCAGCGAAAATGAAAATCAAGAGCCTTGTGTCTCTTGAAACAGATGGAAAAACCTCTAAAAGGTTGGTCCTGGAGACTCTTGCATTGCTATTAGATGCAGCAGATGCCTGCTTGACTTCTGTATGGCGGAAAATGAAGGCCTGTGAAGAGCTATTCGGTTCTCTACTTTCTGGGATTGCGAAGATTGCAGTGGCAAGAGGAGGACAGCCACTTCGTGTGTTGCTCATCCGACTTAAACCACTGGTACTGGCTGTCTGTGCACAGGTAATTTTGTTTTTCTTAACTCATACGAAAAACATATTCTACTCTACTTATGGGTATTTACATTGCGCCTGGAGGTCCATAGAAGTATAATCGAACCCATCATGTAACAAGTCTTTTGGACAGATTTTGTAGTTCCTTTTAATTTTAGATTACTAGAAGAAGATTATTTATTTATAATGTCTGTTGGAACAGCCCGATACTTGGGCGAGCAATCAAGGGGCTATGCTTGAGAGCGTATTTAAGACTAGTTGTGAGATTATTGAATCTGGCTGGGCCAAGGACCGTGCTCCAGTGGACACCTTCATTATGGGGCTAGCTTCAAGTATTCGTGAAAGAAATGATTATGAAGAACAGGTCACTCTAAACTTTTCCCTTAACGTGGAGAGAATAATTTTACCATGCCCTTTGCTGGTTAATATGCCTTTCTATGTTGAATTGCAATTTCAGCTTTCCAATATGGCTCATCATTTGGTGTCCAGGTTGATAAAGAGAAGCAAGTGCCTGCTGTACAGCTTAATGTGATACGGCTGCTAGCTGATCTCAATGTTGCTGTTAAGAAGCCTGACGTAGCAGACATGATTTTGCCCCTTTTTATTGAAAGCCTGGAAGAGGGTGATGCTTCGACTCCTAGCTTTTTACGACTCCAAGTATGGTTCCAATTTCTACAGTGCTAGCTGGCTGGCTATTAATCAGTATATCCTATATGTTATTCTCTCGAACTTTGGCAAAGACAGAAACTACCACCATCTATATCCTTTTTCGTTTGATTTTTTTGACATATTACTATCTGCATTTATGCCAATTCTATGCAGCTTCTTGATGCTGTTTCTCGGATAGCAACATTAGGGTTTGAGAAATCTTATCGTGAGACAGTAGTTCTGATGACCAGAAGTTACTTGAGCAAACTATCGAGTGTAGGATCTGTAGAAAGCAAAACATCAGCACCCGAAGCCACAACCGAGCGTGTAGAGGTATTTG